GTAAGCAAAAGTTGAAGTGTTGGTCGGTTAATCGATCGATGTTAGGTCCGGTTGGTTTGGGACCCAGTAAATGAAACTACAACCCGGTGCAAACAGATCGCGAGATCACAAATTCCTTCACGGATGCGTTGAGAAACGCCGGATTGGAGCAAACGTAGGCTTTACGGACTGCCTCAAGAATTCTGCAGTGTATGGTAGTAAACAGAAGGGCAATGGGCACAAAGTAAATGAGTTATTCACTTGGGTTCAATCGCGAATGACAATCACATCGGTTAGTGATACTTACAACTTTCGTGTTGCGGAGATAATTCCACGGATGGTAGATTGCTCTGTAGCGCTGGTAAATCCGGTTTGAATCAGCGCGCGGTGACTACGCTGCGAGAAGGTAGAGAGAAGTTAGAGAAGATTATTGCAAATGAACCGAGAGCAAGCACGTCAAGCGTGTATTTTTAACTTGCAGTATGCACTGGTATGTATCCGGACGAAGCACATAGTTGGTCCAATGCTTGTAGCTGTAAGTAGGAAATAGTCGCAGTTGGCTTACGAAACGCGCGATTGCATCCACAACAAGAACTTACCCCAATCCTCTGTCCACTTAGTCCTCTGGCTTTGTTATCTAACGCTGAAAGTCACGTTACATTCCTCAGTTTGATGCTGCTCAGAAAAGCCATAAGCCCTATCAAACTGGAATTCTTAGACATCGACTTACTGCATTTGTCTGTTCTAGACCCCTCAGTTTTGGGGATTAATCTCATGGATGCATCATTAGACACCAACATTATGGCCATCTGTTCCTTCTACAGTCCAATCTGCTACGGCGACCACCAGTGTTTTGAGACTACATTGTCGCTCCCTTGAGTGGTTGCCTACCGACAGGTTTGACTGTAATATCGGCTTCGGGGAAAATAATGACAAAATGTATCGACATGCATTAATTTGCAGTAAAGCTGAGTTCATTGATTACAGCGCTATCCACGCGGTTTCAATGTGTCTACCACTGTCCCAACATTTTCTCCCGCTATATTGGTACCGCTGCGGAACTCGTGTTAGCTGTTATTTGTTTGTGTACAATGGAACAATGGAACAATGGATTTATGCGGGTATAAATGCTTAAGCTTGACAAATCCCGTAGGGTGATCAGTGCGAAAATCATAGAAGTGTGAAAAATTCAATGGAAACCAATTCAGTAAAATCGTTTAACAACGAGTCACTACAAGCTTGTGGACTCACCGAGTTTGAAGTGTCAAAATAATAATCCACTATAACTCCGGAGGGGATCATGAGATATGGAGAGTATTTGGTTAAAAGAGTCACCGCCCCTTGAAATTCGCATGGGGCAACGTGTTTGAGTTTGAAGCGTCAAAATATGAATCCACTGTTGAAATAAGCGTGGGGGAAAATTATTTTTAAAGTATGGATTTTGGATCTCTCAAAATTAGACTGTACTATGGGAGATAGTGCAATGAAGTGAGTACACTATCAACTCGATTTTTGAACTCGATCAGGTTTGGTGCACTGACTACAGATTCTGGGAGAGCATTCCAGGCTTGGCAAACACGCACGGAAAAGAAATTCCGTCGACATTCCAAACGGCTGTACTGCACTGCCAGCTTCAGATGATGGCCTCTCAGGTTGTTGTTGTTACTGAGCTCCAGCAGACGGCGGCAAGTATGATTGGGGTCTGTCAGAATCTGATAAGCCAAAATCAAATCTCCCCGTAGCCGTCGATATTGACCACTAAATATCCCGAGCAATCTCAGTCTGTCTTCGTAGCGTAACTGGCCTAAACCTTTCACGTTCTTCGTTGCGTGTCATTGAGGTTTCTCTAAATCAGAGAGGTCTTTCCTCAGCCACGGCTGCCAGACTTGTATTGCATACTCCACGTGTAGTCGTATGTATGCACCTAGAAGTTGGTGAAAAACGGATGGATCGAAGCGTCCAAATGTGCGCCTGAGAAGGCCCAAATTTCGAATGCTCGCGTTCGATGCTTTCCTTGCCTGGGCTGAACAACCAAGGTCGGACTGAATCAAGACTCCCAAATCCTTTTCCTCAGCAGTTGTGTGAAGCACATGGTCACCCAGTTTATAGAAAAATGCTGATTGGTGACGTAAGTGTAATACTCTGCATTTTTCTGTGTTGAATGGGAGTTGGTTCTGAACTGACCACGCATACACCTTATCCATGTCCTCTTGAAGTATTGCGGAGTCGTCTGGTGTATTGATCGCTCTCCAGACCTTGATGTCGTCGGCATAGAGTAGGCAGTTGGAAAGAACGAGGGCCGCTATATCGTCAATATACATCAAAAACAATCGTGACCCCAGTACCGATCCTTGTGGTACACCACATTCGACTTGGATTGGGTGGGACAGGGACCCACGCACTTTTACCTCTAAGCTCCGGTGGAGAAGAAAGCTTGTGATCCATCCTAGGAGCGGATCACCAATGCCAAAGCTCTGAAGTTTGCAGATCAGGATTCCATGGTCTAGTCGATCGAAGGCCTTTGAGAAATCTAGGTACGCCACGTCCACTCCTGCACCGCTGTCAATTAATTTGGTCCAACTCGATCTTGCTAGCATCAGATTTGTGGTGCACGATTGATTCCGTCGAAAACCATGCTGTTCATGTGCAAGGTAGGCAGACTCTTCTAGATAGGCTGTTAATACGTCAGCAACAATAGCTTCCATAACCTTTGACAGGACCGGGAGAAGGGTTACAGGACGGTAGTTGGCTGGATCAGAACGGCTACCGCCCTTGTGAATTGGGGTTATGATCCCACATTTCCACATCTCGGGTACATACATCTGATCGAAGCAGCGTTGGAAGAATCGTGCCAGAGGCTCTGCTAAACTTTCTCCCATTACCGCAAGGGACTTAGGGTGAATGTTGTCGATTCCAGGAGAGCTGTGCTTACGCATACACAACAACTTCTTTAATACCATCCCCGCCGTGAAAGTTATGTGCGTAAGTTTTGGTTGTATAACAGCTGCTGACAAAGGAACAGATGACCAAGAAATGCATTGAAAGTTCGAAGCATATTGCAGCCGCAAGGCGTTCGCCGCATCCTCCGTAGTCAGCGTCATGCCAACTGGCGTTTGAAGAGGAGGGATTCCCCGTTTCACCTTGCGCAGGTTGTTTACATGTTGGTAGAGCAGCTTATGATTCGAAACCATGCGTGCCGTCAGATGCTGCTGGTATGTCAGTTTATCCTCACGAACGAGTTGAGTGCAATGATTACGTTGAATTGCATAGGTCGTCCAGCTCTCCGTGCTCGGGTGTTCCTTATAGATACGCCAGGCCGAGTTCCTCACTGCCATACATTTCCGTGTCCTACTTCGGACAAATGAAACAGTCTTCTTCGAGTGGACAACCTTAGTTTCGGATGCCTCTTCGACGAGAGTGCTAAATTGGTTTACGAAATGTGGCCATGCGATTGTCGGTACTTCGTCTATCAGAAAGTTCCAGTTGGCTGTCTCTGCAAGTCGAGCCAGCTCATCGTACCGTATGATAACTCGGCTTTCCCGTGTAGTATCCGCAGGGTATTCTGCGTAGCATATATAATCGAAGAGTAAAACTGCATGATCGCTGCAACCCAAAGCAGCGTCGATGATTACTTTCTCGACCATGAGTTCTTCGTTGGTAAATATGCGGTCCAGGATGGACGGCCTTTCTGCTGCTTTTTCCAAGTAGAATTCGGTGATTCGAAATCAACTTTTTCCAGTAAATGCGTCATAAACGGCTGCATTTCAGTAAGTTTCACAAGAACGACTGACATTGATGTGACGATTTGAACATGTTTACCGTCGTAACAAGATTATGGCTGTGATTTGAAAACTACGGCATTTTCTTATATGAGTGGAATGTCCTAGCAAGGTGTATTAATTACGGAAGAATTGGACACCCAGAGAACTGTGACAGTTGGAGAGAACATTCATCAGCCAGTTCTACTCAAAACTCGCATAACCCTTCTAAAACCCATGAGCATCAAACTAGGCTTGCAGATTAACTTCATGAAATCGATGCGCCGGACTTCTTCAGTGTTGCGATACCAAAGTGAGTAACCCCTCCACTCAGTAAAGCGCAGATTAAAGGAGTTTTGTGGGTCACCAATTTCGAGAATATTTTTAAGTTGACCACCACAAAACTTTGTTCCTGTGAACTTGGAGTTCCATTTGCCTTTTTTCTATTTACTAATTTGCTAATTTTATGGCAAAGGTTATAAGAAACCAGCCGAAGCTTGTTACAGCTTCATAAGAAGCGATATCAATATTCTTCCTAAGCAACACTTGCTTCCGTGGCAACTGCAATATGCTTACTCCTGAACATTAATAATGTTTCGTAAACATATCGTATCAGCAAATCAAAAGGTAGCTAAGAATGTGAATTGCTAACAGGAAGGCCCACTCATGATGGACGCCCGGTAGACGTCCCCGAAGCAATCTACACCAGAGGCAGGCATGTATATGTCATGCAGTTAGTTTCTATGGGTAGTATACATAGTACAGAAGTATTGCCATGTGTTTAATGGCACAGTTAATAAGTTTGGAGTACAGAATCCTGTAGGTACATTCTGAACGGCCCCTTCCTGCTCGGCACATTAAATCGGAAGCAAAGTGAAAATTGTGTTTCTGTGGCATGATATTTGTCGAATTTTGTACTCATTTAATCGAGTACATTTACGCAAGTACAGACAAGCCGAGATAATTTCAATTAGTCAGCTCACATAACTGAAGCGTGCATGTTTCTGGATTTCTATAAGCTCGCGCGTGGATGGTAAACATACGAAGGTACTTCTTTCATTTCTTGACTTAAATCAGTGTTGGCAAGGTCCATTACCATTAGGATCCGAGCGAACTTCTGGCATGCGACGAACTCAGCAAATTCAACCGACATAATCCACGTCGCAGCGGCCCATTGGTGCAACCCATCTAACCAATCAAACTTCTGTATACTGATTCTCCAGTGATAGATAACTATGATTTGTTGGTATCTACAAAAGAACAGGTGTAGTGGCCATCTAACTTGGACTGCAAAATTGCTTCAGCATGCTCCGCATCTACTTCTTGATTGTTATGGTAAGCCGTGTGTTTCGTATCGAAATCAGCATTTAATGAATAGTTGCAAACGTTTTGTTGCTCCTAGAAACTGCATATCCCGTCAGACACAGGATAATGTAGAATGATGGTAGCGATTAGTGCGTTTAATGATTTCAAATTAGCGTGAAATGAAACATTAAGAATGGCATACGATTAACTGAAAACACAACCATATTGGATCTTCAAAGGATGTATAATATAACCGAGTACTTAAGTGCTGTGATCGCCGAACATTTATCAAGGTGGGCAGGATAACTGAGAAATATGACAAGCGCGGGCCGGATGAAAACAAAATGCTTATCTCGGACCGCGTACTCATTCTGCACAATAATTGCATGACAGAACAAAAGGTCTCGGTTTCTATCTATCTCGTTGTTTGGTTGCCTTAGGAAAGAGTGAAATAAAGGCTATATGAAAAGGAAATAGGTGTTGAAATAAACACATACCATAAAACACTGGCAGAGAAGACTCAGCGTCTGTACTGGAACTAAGGCATACGAATGTCGCATTTTAATTTCATTGGCACGTTTAGCAACAGGACACATCACATACAGAAGTTTGATATATATATATATATATATATATATATTGCCTCATGCTAAGGCTGATTTTGCCTTCATTATCCATCCAACGCAGTTGGGCTGTACCGCCTTAATCTACAGCAATTTATCCCTGTAAAAGGTATCGCACTTTATTTCACTTGGCGCGTTCTGTTATTCTCTTACCGTGTCAGTGTTGCTGTTTTCTATTTTCTAATTATGTGTTGATTGCCCGATGTCCTTGGTGTGGCTGCGCTTGATGTGAATGTTACCAATCGCCTAGCCGTCAGAAAGCCGCCAGCAGGATGTTACTGGTTTCAGGAGACAGTTGATCGTTGCTTGGCTAGGTGTACAGTAGTGCTGCTTCTATGCTTGTTGAAGCTGCGTGGGCCGGCTCCGTTGGTGGAACGTGGCTCCCATTAACATGCCTCCCGGTCTTATTCCTTCGGGTTAACACCGGATAGGGGTGCGTGGTTGGAGCTGTGGCTGACGCAGCGCAACCCCCCATTATCCTTCTTTAGTCGCGGTCGCGGCTATCACCGTGGAGGCCGCAGTGACAAACGTCCGGATCCGGAAGCCGCCAACTATTCGTATATGTAAACAGCATATCGCTTGGGAGACTTGAGCCAAGCCTTCCTAGCGGAGTCAAATCAACAAGCCAGCTTGGAAGCAAATAACTTGCTGCATAAATGCATTTAGCAATTCCATAACGTATTTACCTCAACCATTTGCGCGTTCATCACAATTATTTCCAACTAGCGAGTAAACTGGGTCTAAAGCAACACATGTACTTAAAGCGTCCTAATCAGTAGCACTGTACATACCACGTGGGTCAACTTGAATGATCAATCAACCTTACGACAACGTGGTGTGGGGTAAGCGGAAAGACAGTATGGTATACGGATCAGTGAGCGGCATGTGTACTTGCTCACATAAATGTTCCACAGAGAGTAGAGGTCACGGATAATATGGTGTCACAAGTGATAACTGGGGTATATTCGTGACACTTCGTCACGTAATGTGGAGCGTAAACCGCGTAGTATTGTTTCGTGTTCCACACTGTTTATCAACCAAAGTCGTTTAAAGTCGGCAGGTCTGATGAACGGAGGTCGCACTCCATAACCGGCATGAATTCCATACATTGGTGATACACAACAGGCTAGTGAATTCTGAGTGTATACAATTTGCTGGGCAATATTTTGCCAAACCATCCATTTCCTTACTCCGATTTCTGTTGTCTCTTATTGCCTATGCAGATTAGCAATTTCTCAACATTGCACGCTTGGCTCGATCTTTACCATCAAAATTATCCCGCCTGTTCGGATCTCTGCAAAGCAACCGAAAGAAGGGAACCATCTAGACTCGGTCATCGTGTCACGCGAAATCGAAATTATGGACAACTGCGGATTCAGTGCCTCATGGATTGCATTCGTGGATGATGGAGGAAAGTAGCATTGAGTTGAAAATTGCGAT